CACTTCGGCCGCCACCAGGTCATCCGTGCAGAACCCTGGAAGAGGAAAAATATTAATACTACTCTTGTAATAAATACAAGCTCTAGGTCTAGTTTGGTGGCCACAATACAGTAAGCCACCATTACTTACCTGCAATCCTCTGATCCGGGATCCATGTACCCAAGGCTCCTGGATCAAAGCTAAATCCGCATTTGCGCGCGCCACACTGGCACAGAGAGCAGCAGATGCCGCTCTACTGTGCTGAATGTTCGCTTGTATTACCTGGAATTTGACCAGATAATACAGATTTTGGTCCCTCCTGATCTTCATCAGAAGGTCCCAAATCTATCCTGCCCTTCTCCAGGTTCCTAAAAAGGACCCTGGTGAAGTTCAGAAATGGTCTGAAGCCCTCCTTCTGAAGTACCTTCACACTCATCTCGTCTACTGAGAGGACTAGAGTCTGGCCCTTCTCCTCAACCTTGCGGTTGATTAGCCTCCAGGCCCCCGTCCTCAATTCCCCGTTCTGGTTTTCCAGACGGCGTATGATGGTTTCCGGTTCATCAGGATGACCCGGAATCCGTACGATGAACTTAGTGAACTTAGGTAGGTCCCTAGGCCATCTTGGATCTACCATCTTGAATTTTGCAAAATTGACCTCGGATCCGTGATCAGCGATCCCGAAAACCCCCGAATACCAAATTAAGCGCGAATATGTTATTTTTTGAAAATTCGTGATATCCGACCTTAGTTGACCAGTTTTTTTAGGTTAGAAACGGATTCACGTCCAGCGGGGTCTTAACCATATAAATGGACATTTGCATCAAAATTTGTATCTCACTTGATGACAGAACAATAGAAAGAAAATAGTGTGGGCGATTGTCGACAACTCTTTGAACAATCCAATGGCGATGAAACATTCATTTAAAGGATCATAACGGGAGACGACAGTTGGGTTTATTGAGACAAAAGTTCAATCATCACAATGGACTGGCAAAAGATCTCCACGCCCGCCCCAAGGAAGCACGTCAGTCTCCTTCCAATGTCAAAGGCATGCTCACTTCTATTTCAACTTTAGTGGAATTGTGCATTTTGAATTCTTACCTCAAGGTGAAACAGTGAACCGTATGTTAAGATTTTTTACAACGGTTACTTGGAAAAAAATCCTCAAAAAGATACCAGAGATGTGGCGAGACAACTCATGGTTCTTGTACCATGATAATGCGCCCGCACACTCAGCTTTGTCAATTCGTCATTTTGTACTAAAAATCAGATTACTTATCCTCCCTCACCCTCCTTACTCGCCAGACTTGGCTCCTTGCCGTTTTTTTATTTCCGAAATTAAAATCAGTGCGGAAAGGACGCTATTTTCAGACTATTGATGACATCAAAGCAAATTTGTCACAGACTTTAAAGGCCATTTCAAATGAAGCTATTCAGGACTGTTTCGCGAAATAGAGACATCGCTGGGAAAAGTGTATGAATGGGATGGGAGACAAGGGCCAATAATATATAAAATTAATAATAATTTTCGGTTATTTTCTGAACAGATCTCGTATAATCAGTTACCTTCAGTTAATTGCTAAAATACATACAAAACTTTGTAATTGATGCACTCATTCTGAACGTGATAATCTCAGTTATGTCAACAAAAATCTATATACAGGATCGGAAAGTCCCCATGGTTCATCGGCCGTTACGTGAGAGCGATAAAGAAAGTCATAGAACTCCGAAATGCGATAGAGAAAGATGGCTGTAATGAAGACGTTTAATAGTCACTGCCCAATTCGCCCTTCCACAAATAAGATCCACTTCTTATTGATATTAACAGTTAGAGACCCATTGTACAAAACCAAAACAGGTATTTTATATCTCCACAGTTCAAAACTCGAGATAGGCAATGACGTGGTAGCTCGATACTACATTAAGGACAAAAACTTGTCTTCAACTCCATGTGGGCTGCAATATAATTCTATAGTTTGATTTTTCTCGGTAATCTTTTACTTGTACACCTAAATTGAAAGTAGAATTGTGATATCAGATTGGTATTGAATTCAATTTACAATTTCCTAACTTTAAAAATATCAAATTTACATTTAGCGATATCCAGGGAAAACGACATTCAGCAGGGCTTGATTAACGTGAGTTTCTTCGTCAATCACGATTCAAGTGCTTGATTAACGTGAGTGTCATCACCACTCTTGATTCGGGGTGCTTGATTAACGTGAGTGTCTCCACCCCTCTCATGATTTGGGGTGCTTGATTAACGCGATTCTCACCATCTCCCGATTGAAGAATGCATCTTTTAAAAAATGTCGCATGGAATTTAGCTGTCAACTGAACGTAATTGATCATATAACGGAATCAAGAGAAGTACTTTATGATAAAGTAAAGTAATGAAAAATTACCTCAAAAAACGCCAAAATGGCTCTTTTTGGACAGTTAGGATTGAAATTCTCACAATCCTGATATGATAAAACATATTTATGGCTAGATTCGGATTCAGGGCAAAAAATTACTTTAGGAAACACTTTCACATTCTGGCGGAGTAATAAATAAATTGGACGGCATTATTTGATTTTATTTATTGGTTGCAGACAAATTTTTAAATTATATTCAACGTGTTCAGAGCGTGTACACGTCGCTGTTTCAAGTATTTATCGCGTTATTTACCAGAGATTAATAAAAATCAATGTCTTATCTCGTCAATCAAATACTTCAATATCATGTCTCAATAAAATTTTATTATCTTCGCAAATAATCTGTCTCTGTCCTTGTCACACCTGTGGGTTCCTGACATCAGCGTGTACACGTCGATAAAATATTTTTCAAATTTAGTGTATTGCGTTATCATTATCAATCCCTTATCATCATGAAATGGCACCTTGTACTTAAATTGAGGAATTTTCTTATTCTTAAGTGACCTGTATCTGTTATTAAGTAAATACCTCTTGTCGGTAACCGATAAGTTTTTTTCCGTTAAAAAACCTTATAACCACGTAGTCGTTGGTAATACATTTTATATATTTATAGTACTTGTCTTAACAGCAACAATTTAACCACAACCAGAAAACAAAAGTTGTAGCTAACTTAAATTTTAGGTCGAATTTTAGTAATTATGAATCTCTTAAAACAGGAACTTAATTGTTAATCAAAGTATGAATTTCAAAAATATGTAATTAAAGTACTCAAAGAATCACGTTATCCAAATAATCATACGTATTTAAAAGAATTTAAATACTTACTAAAAAGCAAAATTGAGTAATTTTTAAACGGACAAGTACTAACCAAACTACAATATATGCTCAAAATGTCCACCACCATTTTCGATGCACGCACAACACCTTAGAATCCAATTTTCGCGCCCTCGCTGGAAAACACCTCAAGAAAAGGAAATAGTGGTACGCAAAAAACACTCAGACACGGTCCAATTCCAGATACCAACCTAATTTTAAATTTATTGCAACGCTAATTATTTTTTAGAATTAAGCATAAAGAAGTTATAAAAACTGATATTTATTATATTTTATCGTATTCTATGAACGCAGTTTTGTCAATATTTCTTAATTAATCGAACTTCTGTACATCAAATTGGAGATTTTGATAATTTTTTTCTCACAAATGGTTAAGTTTGGGATCCATGTCATATAAGTTTTTTTTTTTGTTTATTTTTATATATTCTGTATATAGACTTGTTTTAAGTATACAGGGTGATTCAGAACTTATCCAAAAAAAAATTCTGGATGTACAGGGGACCCTTACAAATACAATTTTGTAAAGAAAAAATCAAAAAGGGCAGTTCGAAAATTATTTAAAATACACTTCTGCACGGCACTGGAAACTGGTCCACTGTAAAACCTGACCTCGCACAATGCAACCGGCATGGCGGTGTGATAAAAACGGACAAAAACTTTTGCAAGGAAAGAAATATGTAAATAGAATTTTACCGCACCTATTTTATATCGGCAAATTCAACTGCTTTTGCCTTTATTAATTAATAAAATTAATTTGTGTTTTTAAATAATAAAATCATTTGACATACCCGATGTTACAACAATTGTTCAAAATTTTATCCACCAATGTGTAAACAGATGTAGGTCCGTTGTGCTCAGTTTCTACGAACTAACACAAATGCTTCACCATAAACTAAAACGATATCCATCAACCCCGAGTACACGCAAACCATTTTTGACACTAACTACCCATTTCTGACACTAAAACTTCTAACTAACTAACTCTAAACACCACAGATAACAGTTAAATATCGCAACGACGATTGCAAAATCCGAATTCATTATTCGGAGTCGCTGAGGCCACGTGGCGGATGACGTTAGAGACTACAGTTGTCCAGCTATGTAGTGGTTGAATGTACTATAACTTCAAAATTTTTTTTCTCGGAAACTATAAGGATTTTACAAAAATTTTTTTACGATATTGATTCCATTTCTCATGCTGCATCTATTCCCAAATTTTTTTGGATAAGTTGTGAATCACCCTGTATATTATATCTGTCATTGTCACTAAGCAGTACTTTATGCGAGGAGGTAGGAGCAACAGAGTTTTCTATTTCAAAAGAGTTAGGTCACCACCGGGAGTAGTAATAACTTTCTATATAATCAATATTAGAATGTAAATAATCTAATTTGAACCAACATGAATTTAAAACTTTCAGGATTGTTAGTTTCTATGGATTTTAGGTTAGTTCTTCAACATTTTGTTTTATTACATCGTCTTAAATTAGTTACCATGAGTATTTTTTTTAAATAATATGGAATTTTCCGAAACAATCTGTATTTACTAATTGAATGATATTGTAATCTGAGAAACTATTTTCACATGGTACTTATTTGTATTATTTGTATTACCAATATTACAGAAGAATTCATTTTGATAGAAACAATCTAAAGAATAACATGAGAATGATTATTTCTTTTATTTATCCTTTGGTTGTTTATTGGCTACCTCTAATGTAATATCATTTACATAAAACGAGGAAATAAAATCAAAATTTATGTACTATTTAATATATATTTAAGGTGCACCTCTAGATTATTTCTTTTTTTTCTTTTTATTATTATTCGTTAACGACAGCTAAATCATCGCCAAGATGCGTAGATCTGCCAAAAGTCTCTCGTTCAGTCGCGCTTTCATTTTCCTCTTCATCTATAATGCTTATATCTCTCATGGAAGGTCTTCTGCTCTTTCTTCTTCTCATATCTGGTATTGTAGGGTGCTTCGCCTTTGTCAAAAGTCGGGGTCCTAGAAGGGTAGTTAGCAGGGCCCCCGTGGGCACTGTTAGAATGATAGACAATACGCAAGTTGTTAGGATTTTTTCCGCGTATTCGAATTCCTTGCTGCCGGGTTCAACCATCGTCAGAGCGACTGGTCCTAGAGCGGCCTGAAAAAATGTCAGTAGGTTAGTTATGAAGTAAATTAAATCTTGATTAAATTATTAGGTTAACGCTACTATGGGCAAAATCTTAGTTACTGAAAATAGTGAACGAAACAAGAACAAACCAACTACCTTCAATATCACTCTTTTGTGATTCAAGTATTCCAAACGCTCCACATAAAATTCAGATAGCAGTCAGTTTTATATTGACATTTTTAGTTGTTCAATGTTATTGACTGATTGATTTGCGAAATGTTTGGATTCGATTCCTGACCTCAACATTCCCAGTCAATTTAGAATGGCACTCTAGACTCTACAATCCCGAGCTAGAGCCCAGTAACTACCATCTGTTCCTGCACCACAAAAATATTTTTGTGTTTCTTTCATTCGAGGCAACTGCAATTGAAAATCTCAATGGAAAACTGGAATCTCAGGTGGCGTAGTTTTATGAGGATGGTAGAAAAACTTACCAAACCACAACAAAAGTATTAATCGACGTTATTAGAGTTTCATCAAACTTTTTGACTTCTTTAGTGGATAGTAATAAACATTTTTGCTACAATGGCACACTGTTACAATAATATGAATTTGTGACATGATTTTAATTTATGGAGAATGTCTTCAAAATGCTGTACAAGCATATCGGCCTACAGAGTACCTACATCTCAGATCCCGAAGATTTACCTTATTCAGCGAGCTCGTGATAATGAAAAGCTACAAGAGGACCGTAGAATGTTGAATGGGCTGCACCAAATTAAATGTTACAAATTGAAGAAATTCTCAATATTGTCGAACAACAACCGATGACTAGAATTATTAAAAATTTCCCGTGAAGAAAACTCTACATGAAAACTAACTGTATCCGTACCACATTTATCGAATACAAATATTACAACTGGAAAATTAGGTTACTATTTTGTGAATGGGTACTAAATAATAAAAATAAAAATAAAAGTAATCGACAAGACGGCATTTACAGGGAATGGAGTAAACAACTTTCATAATAAAAAAAACACACCACAGAAATGAGACAACCCCCAAAAATTGGACACAACCAAGTTCTATGGGGTATTTAAAAAAAACGCTATTAAATAATTACATAAATCCTCCGCCCCCCATATTTTTGTCACATATACACTAATGGAAAAAATTAAGGGATCAAAAAAAATATATAAATTTTCGGCGATTTTTCAAATGGCTGTATCTTTGATAAAAATGGTCGTATTAGAGTAAAAAAAAAGCAACTTGAAGCTTGAAGTTTCTAATTTTTGGATCTTGTAAAAAAAAAATTTTTCAAGTTAACACGTATGGCGCAATCTTAATGAATATCATGAAAAAAAAATTTTCGAAATTTTTTTCGAACTTATTTTTGGTGTACAGACTTGAAAAATTTTTTTACAACTTAACCACCTTATGGATTAGATAGGTTCTTCAGTCAATTTCTTTTTTTTTTGGTCTCGATACGACCATTTCTCGCTGAGCTATCGGACTTTGAATNTTACGTACTAATGGATATTTACTGACATGCGGTTGGCAGCATTGTGTTGCGCACATCCTCTTCTGTAACTATATTCTTGGATTACACAGTCACACAAAAAAAACTTGTATGTACTTTTCATGCGACATATGTTTTTCGTGGTATTTTTGCCTCCCGATCATGAATCCGGTGTCAGAATTCACCACACAGGAACTTCCTAACCTTAAAAAACAAGTCAAAAATGGTAAAAATTCACAAAAAGTGCTAGGAAAAATACAAATAAATGTTTTTCTATATTCAAATGTTCATTTATATGGTTGAGACCTCGTCGAACGTAAATCCGCGGTCAGAATTGATGGTTCCCTTTCTAACTTCAAAAAACAGGTCAATTAAGGTCAGATATCACAAACTTGGTATACGGAGGTTTTAAGGGTCGCTTTTCATGGATCCGAGGTCAGTTTTACAAAATTCAAAATGGCGGATCCAAGATGGCCGACCAAATTCTCAAAAAATAACCCATTCGTGCTAAAGTTGGTATATGGGAGTTTTTGGGATAGCTGATCACGGATCCGAGATGAATTTTGCAAAATTCAAGATGGCGGATCCAAGATGGCCGAACAAATTTTCAAAAAATAACATTAGCGTCAAATTTGGTATAAGGGGGGTTTTCGGGGTCGTTGATTATAACGAATTCAAGGTCTGAATTGCGAAATCATTTTGTAATATTTTTGTTTACTTTATAACTACCCAATCATGTTTTAACCTTCTTAAAGTACATAGGTAATTTATTAAATTTTTAGAAACGAATTTTGTAAATCTGATCTCGAATTCGTGATCAGTGACCTCGAAAACCCCCGTATACAAAATTTGGCGAGAATGTGTAATTTTTTGAAAATTTTGTCTGCCATCTTCTTCTTCTTCTTCTTCTTTTTCTTCATCTAGTGGTTGGTCCTTTAAAAGTCCCATAGCACTGCAGCCTAATTAGGCCTATTGTGCGTCCCACTACTAGTCCTATTCAGCAAGTAGATTTGTCTTTTTTACAAAGTCCAAAAGCTTCCTTGCTGACACTTCTCTCAATTCCTTGGGTTCCAAATAGGGTCTCCCAAGGAGCGTCATTCTGCTACGTGCAAATCCCGGGCACTCGCCCAGGATATGCAGAGAAGTTTCATCCGCCGATTCACATCCTCGGCAGACCGGACTGTCTACAAGCTTTAGCTTATGTAGATGTTTCCTAAAGTGACAGTGTCCCGTTATGAGTCCTGTCACTCTCCTGAGCCGGATTCT